ACGAACAAAAAAAGAAAAACGTTCACCAAAACAATCAATACCTTCTCGTTCAATTAAAGTCGATAATACAGATGAAATTATTACGGATAAAGTCAAATCTTCATTGAAAACACCAATAAAATCTATTGAAAAACCACAAAAAAAACAAATACGTCAACGATTACATTCATCTGTACGTTATCAAACTAATGAAGAAATAAAACATTTTGATGAAGAAGAACAACCAATTAGAAAAATAATTGGTGTTGAATCACAGAAGAAAAAAAATAAAAAACGATTTCAAATTATTGGTAAAGAAATCAAAATTAAACATAAAAATTCAGTACCAAATCCTTCACCTGTTACCACAACCACTGCTTCTATTCCAATAACAATTACAAATCCTCCACCAACTACTACTACTACTACTACTACTACAACATCATCTCCTCCAAATGTCGAAATTCCTCAAACAACTTCATCTCCTCCAAATGTCGAACTTCCTCAAACAACTTCATCTCCTCAACCACAAATTGTCTCAACAACTACTCATGCACCTCTTCCGACTATTTCAGAGATAATTCAAGAGGAAGAAGCAGCAACATTATTATCAACAAAACCAACATATTCTGAAGAAATTGCAGAAGAGATCAATGAAGCAAATGAAAACTTACAAGACACAACAGCAACAACAACAACGATGTCACCGCCGAATCCTAATGATAATACAACTCCCAACGAAGAAGATAGTGAATCAAGTTCCAGTGATAGTGACAGTGACAGTGACAGTGACAGTGACAGTAGTTCAAGTGAAGATACAGATGATAAAGATGACAATTTGGATGTCTCACCTATGAAAAAAATCAAACAATTTTATGAGAGTGCGAAAGAGAGTGTGCATGATGTCTTTGACTTAGACGATGATAAAAATAGTTCTTAGAAAAATGAAGTTCACTTTTCTTTTTTTTTTTGAATTAATAGAAAATGATCAATAAATATTCTATATAGGAAGGAAACCCATTTATACTAATCTAATTACCATTGCTAATCGTACATTCTTCTCTAATAATTATTTACAATTTATTTAAATATTTTCAATATCAGGACGTTCTAATACAGATGATGCTAATGTATTATCGAAATAATAAATTATTTCATTAGAATCAAGATATTCTATAGAAATGATAGATGACTACAATTAATACAAATGAAGATCAAAGTCATAATAATTATGACGAGTATAGCAAAACCTGCTATAATTAAAAATTAGTAAATAGGGAAAGGTTAATTTTAAACAGAAATTGAAACATATTTCTCAAATATTAAACGATAACAAGCATTAATAGAAAAATGAAATGTCCGCCTTCATTCATCTTATTAACATTTCATATGTAAGAATTTAGAATAATATTATTAAAAACCATATAATTAACAAATATTTTCATTCCTTTAACATACTAATGATTTTTCTTTGGAATGTATTTATATTTAGAATAGAATGTATCGAAAATCAATTGGTATAAAAGACTAAGCAAAGTATTCCAAGTTTTGCTTGGGATAAATAATTTTTTTTTAAAAAAGAAAATTATTTTATTGTAAAATCAAATTTTTCATCATGTAAATTCTTCAAATAAATGCTACATAATAACATCAAGAGAATAGAAAATTAGATCTAGTTGTTCATAACAAAAAATTAGATTCCGATCATCGAAGAATTTCTTGTATTGTAACTTCCAGGTCAGTAATTAAATTTTTTTTAAAAAATCATTATTCGTTCCATTCATATGTGTTGGAGCGATAATTTTTTTTTTATTCTTCCAAACTGTATGAGATTCGTTTCTGTCACGTATCCCTAATCAAAGTGACATGAGAAAAAAAAGAGAGAAATATTCATATAAGAAATTTATGATTTTTTATTGATTTATTCGAAGAATTTTGTAAGTCAATGATTATTTCTTTTATAAAGCATGTACTCGAGAATGAATTAATTATTTATTTTTATCATTCATTTTCAATTCTTCGTGATGTTTCTGATATTTAACGGTGTTGTCCGACGAAAGTAGCAAATAAGAATTGGTTTTTTATTATTGATTATCAATGTATTTTAGCAAATTGTTCAATTTTTTACAGGAAATAATCACTGTATGAATATTTATTATTGAAACTTTCGTTTATTAATATTTTAAATATTTGATTATTGTATTATACATCCGTTTTTCTTGAGGATTTGGTTTATAAAAGAAATAAGCATTGTTTAATAAAATTTCTCTAATAAATCAATAGAAAAGCACAAATTTTTTGTATAAATATAAATCATATACAGTTTGAAAGAGCAAAAAAATTATCGTTCCAACACATAATTTTATTCAACAACAAGGTTTATACTCAAAATAAAAGATGTTTTGTTTTCAATCAAATCTATACACTCTTTGTTATGAATTGATTTTAGTTTAGATAATTTAACTATTGAAAATTGTTAATCATCTTAACACAATGAAAATATTTTAGACTTTTTCAACAAAACATAATTAAAGTAAAACTTCTCTTAAATGAACATCGTCAGAGATGTTGAAAAATGTTTATCTATGAAAGATGTCATTTATTTTATTACAAAATCAGCTTTCGAATATAAGCTTCTGTACTAATTTTAAAGCAATCAAAGACTGTTCTCTGTGTATTGCAACTTCTTTTATTTTGAATATTTATGAATTCAAAACTTTGCTTTATTTTGCAAAATTCTGTATTATTGTTTTGATCTCGATATATGTGAATTTGATAAATGCTCTGTACAATATGATCCAAATCTATGTTCATTAAATTTGATTACGTCAAAAATTTTGAATTTTCGTTTAATGTTTTTACGCCTCCTCGCGTTTGAATCCTATTTGTGCTCCTGTACACGACTATTTCAATCTGATAAAGTGTCTTCCGTTGACTTGATCAATCAAGGTAAACATGAATCAAGGTGAATATCTTCGGTCAAGTTTTTAGCTTCTCTTGAAACAATTCGCTTATTGACTAGACTCAGCCTTCAAATTGAAAGATCAAATTAGAAATTAATGAGCTCTACAATATACAAGTTTTTTCTTCGCAAACAGATCCAAAACAACAAACAACAACCGCAACACAATGCGAATTCTAGCCTCAAAAATGAAATATTTCAAGCATATCTCGTCATGGTTTTCTTTTTCGTAGATTCATGTAGGATTTCACACATTCTACTAGATGCACTATTTACTGTCTTAAATTTTTTTATCAAACCAACAAGAAAACTGGTGAGAGAGAGTGAATTACTTAAGGTGAGGGTGACGAGAAGAATCTCACCCTACGCTTACCCTCATTTTCATAAATGAGTTTGGAAAAATTTTCCGAACAATGCCGGCTACTATGTTTTTTTTAAAATTTTTCAGGTGTGTAATTACGATAAGTTTACGTACGTGGTCATGTTTCTTGTTAGCTATTAAAATTCAAAAAAAACTGAAATCGTGAAAAAATAACCCCCATCACGCTGCTGTCTTTTTCTGAAATGCCTCAAAAATACATTTTACCGTTGACTACAGATAGTAGTTTCGCGATTGATGCGCACGTTCAATCTAAGTGATTTCGTGAGTAGGTCATTTAATGTGGACTGATAAATAAGTGGTCAGTTCTCTCTCAAACGATTGGAAGGGGAAAAAAGATAAGATAGATGGTCAATTCACGGATACAATCATCTCACATATCAAAAATTTTGCTCTTTCTCTTCTGTTGATCCACATGAACCCACAACTGAAGCTCGAATGCCTATACTCTACCTTACAGCATCCAACATATCCTTCTTCTCAGAATGTAATCACGAGTAACTGGTTAATATTTATAATCTCACATTATTACATCTCCTTATTTTACAGGGTTTTCCTATATGGCCAGAAAAGCCTTTGAAAATTGAACATGTAAATATTCAACTCTGGCCTAACGAATCTACAAGACGTCTTTAACTGATTATATTCTTAAATAGATCGACTAAAATCTGGATTTCTCATCACGGATTAATGCATCCAATTCGTTCAAACCGATCTAAGTAAATCTACGGATCGCCAGAATATATAATATTTCTTAGTTAAACTATAACAATAATTACTAATTTTCTTCTTGTTAACTCGATAAGAAACTCAAACAAACATAAATAGTGCATCTTGTAGAGCTTTTCAACTTCTACTTTGGTCCATCAATGGAAAGTGATCGATTCATTATGGAACGAATCATGACGCGATATTCCAAAAACTTGCTTTTTTCAGTTAGGATTCACAGTAGTTTCCGGTTTTTTTCAAGACTGTTTTAGAAGAAAAATGCGTACATCTTGTAAAGTTCATTGAGTTCGTCCTGAATCCATCAATGTGAGAGTTTGGTATAATCAATAAAGGATATCTTAAGAATAACTCAAACTCTGATCCAGGATATTTTAGGATCATAGAGTATCGAAAAATCCCTAGGAATTCCGAGGAACACGAAATCCAGCAGTATGCTGTTCTCTTCTTGGCCAATACTCAACAAATACTGTAACTGTCGAACATATTTTCTTACTTTTGACCATCCTGTATATTCTAATACATATTCACAAAATTGGGGGTCCATTCATTTTCAAAGAGGATAAATGCATCTTATTGACCGTTAGTATTAATATGAATGCTATTTTGCTGAAAGAATAATACGTAACGCGTTTTGTAGAACAATTTTGCTAGATTATTGTTTACATGGCAGTTATTCGACTATGAATATTAGACATTGAGCAAGTTCGATAATACTTTTTTGAAAGATAAAGTGTAGAAACAGATTTATGATTGCTATATCTTTTCTTCAAAAACAAGAAACAAGATGAATATCTATATGTAGATAGATCAAATTATTCAAAGAAAGATGAATATGAGGAAAATGATGGCAAGGAAATGAAGATGAGCACAGATTTTTTTAAAATAGAAATTGCATGTATGAATAATAGATTACACAACCACAACAGAAAGACAAAGCATTATTCTCATTATAGTTATGATGCAAACTGCGTGAGACTACTTCAAGGAGATGTCCGACTAGTGATACGAGAAGTATCGCATATCTATTTTTATATAATGATACATGGTGTTTTTAATATGTATGGATTCGGAATATTTTTAAAACCACGTACAAGCGCATCACCATCTTGATGATCTTGACAAAATTGAATTAGATCTTTGCATGCCATTGACACTTTAATTCGTTCGATATTACGTTCAGCTTGTAATTGTTCAACAAGTTTTTCTTTGTTGGTTAAGGTTGACATTTCTTTTCTACAAGAAAAGTTCGTATTAAAATAAAACTTGTCGGTGTAGCTCCTGATGGAGTTAAAAATGTGAAACTTACATATATTATTGTGACATGTCTTTGAGCTCATATCAGTCGTAACCTCTCTCTTTCTGTTTTTCTTACTATATAGATTCTTCTTTTGTTCTTTCTATGTATATTTCTTAACTTCGCTTTTATCTACATGTATTCTTACTCACTGTTTGGCTATCATTACTCATTGATGACCATCTTTCCCATTATATCTACATGAATAACCCTACTGAGTGTTCTACATTTCGTACCTGACAATATAATAGGAATATTACTTTTATCTTCTCTTTCTTTCTGTCAGAGGTTTAGAACCATCAGTGTTTGCAAGGCACTATCTTACGATGAGTTCTGCAAAAAATATAACAATGGGCAAATTTGCAGAATAATACTTACACAAACGTATCACGTCGTCAATAATTGTTAATTGTGCTAAAATAAAGATCTAGAATCGACAAATGCACGAAATTTAGTATAAAATGATTTGCTACTACATAATCACTCATTTTACAATCTGAGAAATAGACATGACAAGAAAAATATGCTCAAACCTTACTCTCACATTTTTATCTCATATAATCCTTTCTTTTTTTTTCGTATACAAGTATAATTTTTTACGTGCTGTTGATCCATTTTTTCTTCTTCTTATTCTATTTGCAATGAAAATAAAGCAAGAAAATACGAAGTCAATGATCATTTTTCCTTGATTCAACATAGAAAACGCACGAACTAATAGTGGAGTCCGCTTTCAAAAAAAACACATTGTCGTTTTTTACTTTCTCTCACTGTTGTTGGCATCGCTGTAAAAGATACGATGGAGAAATTACGGACTTCAAAACTATGAGACATCAACAAAGAAGTCTCTACTTTTTTTCTCTCGGAGAGATCATTTTCTCACGTCTTCAGGCATAGATATATATGAACTAATTAGTAATTATTGATCTTAATTAACCATCACTAATCGTATTCTTGCTGATTTTTGGTTTTCCTTCAATATACAAATGTGATTGACGGGAAAAATCGTCCCCATCGATTGCTTGCTAAATGACATAGGGTGTCGATCAAGCGAGGACTCAAACCTACACTCATACCCTCATTATTTGGTAATGTTT